TAATCGACAAGTCTTGCTCCTTATAAATGACATAGTGGAGTAACTAAAAACAGTCATGCTTACAATAAATTTCAAACTTGTGGCGGCGTGGTGGGCCGGGTCAATGTGCTCCCTCCGATATGGTTGAGGGCAATGATGAAGGGCTCATTCGTCATACTCGTGAATGGGTGCTGTTTGTAGAGAGACTGGTCTGTTATGGTTAAGGTCTATTTCCTTTTGATAAAATTGCAATAGCATATGCTGGTGGTCACTCTATTCTCCCTAATTTGAATTTTAAAATGAATCTCTGGTTTTGTAAACATATACAAACTCATTTAAGAAGAATAAGAGCTGAGTTTCATGTCGTTCTTAGCTTGAAAGCACTCCGAACTGACGGTAGATTTTGACATATCATAAGAGTTTGTAATAGACCTACATTAATAAAGATAATTTGATTTGATTTCTTGATGACGATAGACTAACTGACCTTACGTTCATCTTATCACCCTCCACTGGTGCCCCGCCAGGGAATTCCGTTAGCGCGAACATAGGCCAGAATTCATATAAATAAAATTGGAGTATCTGTTTGTAATATTGAAATAACCGTTTTTTACTACATGCATATGAATATAAATAGTTTTTGTAATTTTCTCTACACACATTCTCACAATTCAATATGCATAAGTTAAGTTATTCCTTATGAGAGTTTGGAGTCTACACTACAGATCTCGAAGTTTTCTCCGAAGATTACATTTCTATATTACAATTATTATTAATCTGTTTTGGATTAAATTAATTCGATATTTCATTATTTTCAAAAATTAAATTTTGGTCAGTCTGTCTGTTTGTTCCGGCTAATCTCTGAAATGGTCGCACTGACTTTTTTTGGTAGATTACATATATCTATATAAGGAGTAAGTTAGGCCACTTTTATTTTAGAAAAATAAAGTTAAATTCCACGCGGTTGTCGCGTGTACAGTTAGTCATCCATAAAAAAAACATCCATACAATAAAGAATTTGTCACCATAGAAACTGACCTTATCACCCTCCACTGGTGCCCCGCCAGCGTATACCGTTAGCGCAGGAGGACGCAACAATTCATTATCATCCATAAAAAAAATTATCAAGTAGGTTAAAACACTGTGCGTATTTATATCTCACAATAACTTTATCAGTTAATTTGAAATATTTTTATTTGCAATGTCCAGGGCCAGGGGTCAATCAGCAGGCATATACTATATCTATACTACTGCGGACAAAGGTCATTTGATATCCAATAGCACTGCCAACATTTAGAAAAAAGAACTGATTTTTTATGTCATTATATAATAACTATATTATCAAGTATCGATTTTTTTTATTATATTTAATTAAAAAAAAAACAATGTGTACATCATCATCATCAGCCCACTGCAGTCCACTGCTAGACATAGGGTTCTCCCAAGGCACGATCTTCAGCCCTTCTCATCCAGTTACTACCCGCAACCCTACGTATGTTGTCGCTCCACCTAGCTACGGGGCGTCCTACACTACGTTTGCCAATTCAGGGTCTCCACTCTAGAACACGCCTACTCCAATATGACGGACTCAATACCTTGCAGCGTTATCTACCAGGCAACCATAAGTGGTGCAGAGAAAGATTGTTGGCGGTGTACTAATATTTTCTCCATTTTTGCAACATTTCCACTAATGCTTCGTTAATTTTAAACCAGTAGTTCCTGAGATTAGCGCATTTAAACAAATAAACGCTTCAGCTTTATAATATTAGTATATATAATATTATCTCTTTTGTATAATATTTCTTTTACAAATAATCTCAATATATTTGATATTAACCATTCTCAACACTTCAATCAATTTAAATCTACCAGAATCAGTATAGCAACATTGTTTTGTTTTTTTTTTTTTCAGATTTAGAATCAAGGACAAAATACATACTTTCAAAGTTTCAATAATAAAAACATGCTATTCACTTTAAATATTAACTGTGTTGTTTACCAACTCTTAGTAATCAGGAGCATAAAAAATTTGCACTGACTACACTGAAATAGAATAGACAAGTAGTATTTGTTGTTGTTTTTTTAATGTGTATGACATAGCTTTAGGCTGTACAAACGTAAATTTATGTCTTTCACAGATAATGTAATCATTCCATGTGTAAATATTATTATATTTCAAGTATTTATAAGTTAAAAAACAATGTCACATGCACATGTTTGCTTTTTTTTTTATAAAAATAAAATTATTCAGATTGCTACATCATCTATATTAAATCAATTGGCTGAACTCAACATTAAAAGAAAAAAGCATCCAAAGTGTTCTCTATGGACCCACATTACTAAATATACTTTTTATTTTCATTAAAACTATTAAAAAAATATATAGTTTTTATTTTTATAGACCACAGACAGAGAAATTTCTTTTTAACTCTTTCTATATATTCTCAGTACCTACATATAACTTTCTATTGAACACCAGTTGAGTCTGATAGAAACCAGATGCATATCTACATATGATTAAACATCTGTAAAATATTTCATCAGTCAGTCAATCACGAAAGTTAGATACTTGCATGATAGATTTTTTATTTTTCTTCTCCGAATTCAGTCTTCATATTTAGATAACGTCATAGTCAGATAACATAACAATAACAAACTTGTTTACAAACACAGACGTAAACAAAATGTCTACCAATCAATAGGTACGGGTACCAGGGGCCCAGAACATACGAAGAGGCGTTGACTACAGGTGTAATCCGACCGAATGCGGAAGTAAATCGATAACGAACAAAGAAAGGTTTGACAACGTGCTTTTTAGAAAAGTCGTTTAATCCCTAAAGAAATCACGTACGCACATACGTATAACTACTATAAAACAAATTATGACGCAAATTTAGTATGTACACTACAAGTTAATGGGTTTGATTGCAAAACAATATTGCGTATAATTTTCTTAACATATTTCTTATAGACACATGTAAACAAGAACAGACAGCTGGTAAAAATCTGTGGCACCGCTTATATTACCATGTTATCTCTATAGTTTGGCATTTGATACGCAGTAATCACATTTACACAGTCTATAAAGCCGATATCCTTGATAAAAACGGGTAAACCAAGTTTCGTCATGCATTGTTTTCAATATGGTCTTGTTTATTTATATTATTTACACTTACCGCTCAAATCGTCGAGAGTATTTAACTTTCGCACGGCCATTTTGCGTAAAATTCAACGACAACACTGAGAAAATGGGTTTCTTTATGTTTTTCCACTGATTATAAACCAAATAATCAAAGTTTATAAGTTACTACAACACAACAAACCGATTGCGTGTAGACCGCGATTGCCTTTGTTTCTGTTTTGATTTTGATCCGCTTCGTGAAAGAGGAGGCGCGCAAATCGCAATTTAACAGTCTTAAATGTATATTAAGATGCAACAGTTAGATTTTATCACCAGACAATAAAGTTTAATTTCAATTAATATAACCGCAGAAAATATTTTGTACTCCATACATAACAAATGCGGACTGGTTATCTTTCGATCAATCTCGGCCAATAGTAAGTTGATATGCTGTGGTCTCTTCTCACATTGGTCAACGGGTCAACATTATGTTAAAAAAAAAAAGTAATGTTGCCATGTGACAACAATTTTCTTCGTGATAGTTCATTATCCTCTAGTCTATGATGGTGTCATTAAAAAAGTCATTGACCTTTCGATACTTTGGCGCGCTAGAGAAGCACCAATGTTATAGCTTCATGCATTATTATCACTACATGCGATACTGCTTTATGTATTATTTTTCGTTAAAGTACGTAACATATATTTGAAAAGAATATGTAAATAGAACAGTTATCATAATATCATTTCTTAATTATTATTCAAAGCTGCGTTTAGAATTCATAGTAGAATAAGTTAATTAAATTTAGAATCTTCTACCTGCTTTCTGAAATCAGTTAAAAATAGATGTAATGCGTATTCTAATTTAGGAAAACTTATTAAAGCAGGACTTAGCAGGCCAATAATTTAGAATTTTGTTTATGTAACACCAAATAAGATGCATTTCAATGATAAACTTTTGTATTTAACGTAATTATTGCTTATATATGTTAGTAGATCTAGTATGTCGCTGATTACATAAAAAAAAAACACTTTATTTTTTATTCGTATTGTAGTCAGTAGGTAATATTATGTAATACTAGCTGTACCCGCAGTTTCATCCGCGTGGAGTTTAACTTTATTTTTCTAAAATAATTGTAGCGTAATGTAATGTAGTTACTCCGTATTACATCAGCTACCTGCCAAAAAAAGTTCCGTCAAAATAGGTCCAGCCATTTCAGAGATTAGCCGGAACAAACAGACAGAGCGACAGACAAATATTGTAAATCACGTTATTTTAGTATATGTACCATATTTATATTCTTATACAAGTAGTAAAAAACTGCAATATTACAAACAACAGTCCAATTTTATTTATATGTATAGATTATGTTATCTGTGATATGTATCCTAAGAGAAATAAAATATATTTTGTTTCATTAAATGGATGCAACATTTTTCTGAATATAAAGAATTCAGAAAACAAACGACATCTACTCTTATTATTTACAGTTAAATATTTTAAACCATAACCGATAGGTATATAAATGAGAAAAACGTCTTCATGTAGACAAGAAAATTAATAATTTTGGAAGCGATCCAGAAAGTTCTTAATGATTCTCAAATTTTCTAAAAATAAATTAAGAAAACAATGTAGGATATCAGAACAAGTTTTAATGTCGTAAAATACAACCACTAAATTACAAAAATGTACAATATTATATGCATAAATAAAGTTTACAGGTCTATAATATATTTTATAGGTTTAATGAGAACAGTTAACAATGTTCGGTGATTTAATTTAATTATTACGGATTTAACTTAAAAGTGACATTGGTCCTTAAAATTGAATCTAGTCAATAAGTATGGCAACACCGTTTGTCAATTTCTCTGGTTCTCACATTTTCTATCTTGTCTATTCCTATAAACCTGTCTTACATCAATTTTAATACTTATGCTGCTAATTTTATATTAAATCATTACTTTAGAATTACGTTATGAGTGTTAAAAGTAAAGAAGATGATCATCCTACACAGGAATTATCTGATGAAGTCGGAAGTCCTAGGTAAATGATATATCAAATCGTATACCGTAAGCAAAAATCACCTGGTGTAACGTCTGACAGCTGATTAAAGGCGGTAAAGTCAAAAGGCGCGAAAGCTTTCGACGTGTAGACCGTTCTTGTTATTTTTTAATTAAAAATGTAAAATTAATTCACTCAATAGTAAGAAAAGTGTTTTACATTACAGAAAACATTTGCGATTAGACAATTCAGCGAGAAAAGGTTGGAGCTTAATTGATAGGAAAGCAGATCACGAGGTAAGTATACATAATGCATTCCCGCTATTTTTTGTACTTTTTTTTTTGGTTAGAATTTTTTTATACTTATACTAGTTAGCATATATAATTTCTGTACATTAATTACCCTAAAAATTAGTTTAAATATTATATAATTATTGCTCAATTGGATATAGAAGAAACAGATCATATTTTTCGTAATTTATACATTCCTTGACTCTTCTGATCACCCAAAATTAAACAACGTAATCTTGCAATGTCCAGAATTAGTGAGACTCCACAAATGCAGCAAAAAGCCTTTAAATGACTGTGATATGCAGGAAATAGGCAAGTAAGAAAGTTATGGATGACTTATGTTACAAATTAACTTTAAAACAATAGTTGAATATCAGTCAGTTCTTTTCAATTGAATAGTTCCCTGGACTGGATAATATTGTTAAAAAATAGTAATATGTATAAGTGAGTAATGTATGATGAATTATATTTATTGAGCAAAGCCTTACTAAACATTTATTTGAATGACGAGAGTGCATGGCAATAGTTTTTCATGTATGGGATTTTCATTTAATGTTAGACATAGACACCTATATAAATATACATTGTGAATAAACTGGGTTTTTAAAAAAAAGTAATTCAATTGAGTTTCTTGCCAGTTTTTATCAATTGGATATATATAGTGAACTGGATGGTAGCGAAGAAATTATAGTATAAACAAATTGATGTTCATAAGTGGCTAAAATGTCCTACAATATAAATATTTTTATTCTTTAATTATTGAACATTTGAAGTGAAGTTATCAGATGTTTAAAGATACTATATATTTATGAAATGTTTTTTTTCTTAATCAATGTTATATACATGTAATTTACATTTGTACCTACTCTAGGCAGCCAATTGGACAGTTTTAAAATAACTAAACTAAACTTTCCTATTTTCACAGGTATTACAAGAGATGGGAGTCAGTCTCCTCGAGCCAGATGACTCCGAAGTGCAGACTGATGTGGTTTTTGACAGTGTAGTAAGTTTTGAATAATATTTGATTTTTCTATAAAGTAATGTACATTTAAGACTGTTAAGTTGCGATATCAAATATCAACATCATTCAAAGGGCCCAAAATATTATACTGAGAACAGTATCGGGTGTCCCTTGGTACATCACCAACAACGAAATTCACAAGGAACTTGGCGTACTGACAGTAAAGGAGGAGATCCTCAATTGTAAAGAAAAATATAAAAAGCGACTATGTAACCACCCAAATCAACTGGCTGCTTGTTATCTTAGTTAGTTCTTATAATACAATCTGTCTTTACATAGAATTTGATTAAAATCTGTTCATTTAAATATAAATGGTAATAATAATAACCCTGGACAATTAACACAGCGCCATCTAGTCCCACGGTAAGCAGAGCTTGTGTTATGGGTACTAGACAACTGATATAAATAAATAAATAACCCTGGACAATTAACACAGCGCCATCTAGTCCCACGGTAAGCAAAGCTTGTGTTATGGGTACTAGACAACTGATATAAATAAATAAATAACCCTGGACAATTAACACAGCGCCATCTAGTCCCACGGTAAGCAGACCTTGTGTTATGGGTACTAGACAACTGATAAAATAAATAAATACAAATTATACTCGTGAATCATGTTAGGAATCAAACCCGCGGTTTTCGGAAGTAAAGCAGTTAATAAACAACTAAACCATCAAAGTCTGTTCTATATTTAATAAAAATCTAATTTTGTTTCCCAGCACCAACATAGAGCACAGAAGAGAAAAAGGGACATAGAAAATATGAATCCCAATGTCAACTCCACATCTCCAAGGAAACACAGCCCCAAAAGTCCCAGGACGAAGGTGAAAATCTGCAGCCCAGGTCCAGGACCATCCAGGGTCAAAAGCCCTAGAAGTACAGAAAAATGTGAGTGACATAACATTGACATAATTATCATCTAACTGATATATAAAATTTTCGTATCGCGTTACAAACACTGTTATTTATTTATGTTAGAGTTCACATCAATATTGTCGAAAAAATCCGATATTTTTTAAAATATATTAAAAGAAGGTAGTTTGTGTTTAGTACTAATGAAGTACCCAATGTAAAGATTATTACAAATATTGTAAATAGCGCCATCTAGTATTTATAGACCGAACTAAGTTGTTTGTCATAAGATAACCGTTACCCACGCTTCTTTCCCTACTACACTGACTTCGGTCTATAAATACGGAGGTCGGTAGTGAATAATCCTCCCCTCCGATCGATCCCCCGTCCAATCCAAACGGGGATCGAAATTACGATGGCCTGAGCTGACGTTCGAACCCCTAGTGGTGCCCTCAGACTAAAGTCGTATCCATCAGGCAGTAGCTGGCCTTCAGCCGCTCCATAAGTCCTTACGCGGGTTTGGAGTGCCATCTGCACTCGCCCCATAACGTCCGGTGAAGCTGTAAAGGCCAGCTGCGGCCAACAGCATTAGAGTAGTCCGAAAAAAACCGCTTCTCTTCCTACTACACTGACTTCGGTCTATAAATGCGAAGGTCGGTAGTTGAATAATCCTCTTTGGTTGGGTGAGCCGCGGCATTCAGTCGACGAGTGCAGAGCGAGCCGGTTGTGTTTTGGATACTAAAGTGAATTGTATTAGTGGGTTTATCCTGGACTTAGTTGGGCCTGGGGGGAAGCTGCAAGTAGTGAAGGTGAGTGTTAATGCATTCTAAAAGGGCCTTTTAAACCTACACCCGTGTCACAAGTCACGGGCGCTACTTGGGGTTTCCCTTGCGGTAGCCGGCTTCAAAGCCTAAGTCATTACCATTAATTAGTGCTTCTTATATTCATTTATTGCCTTTGGGCTGATAGTAGAGTGAAGAGTTGGTTTTGTTTATTTACTACTAGCTTAACTACTCGCCCCGACTTCGCACAGGTGTACATGTTTCTATATGTATATAACTCAAAGGTGACTGACATAGTGATCTATCAACGCACAGCCCAAACCACTGGACGGATCGGGCTGAAATTTGGCATGCAGGTAGATGTTATGACGTAGGCATCCGCTAAGAAAGGATTTTGATTAATTCTACCCCCAAGGGGATAAAATAGGGGTTGAAAGTTTGTATGAAACTTTGTCAATTTTAAACCGATCGGGCTGAGACTTTGCATGCATAAAGCTACTATGACGTAGGCATCCCCTAAGAAAGGATTTAGATAAATTCCACTCCTAAGGGGTTAAATTAACGCGAGCGAAGCCGCGGGCAAAAGCTAGTTTTATATATAAACCTTCCTCTAGAATAACTATCTATTAAAAAAAACCCCTTCAAAATCCGTTGTGTAGTTTTAGGTTTAAGCATCCATAGGGACGGACAGCGACAGCGACTTTTTTTTATACTATGTAATGATTTCACTGTCTAGGTTCACGAGCTTGTCCTACGGCATAGGCCTCCTCCAAAAGACTCCACATTCCTCTGTCCAACGCTTTCCTTCTCCATCTCGTTCCAGAAGTTCCACTGAGTTTCTTGTCAGTTCTTCTCATCTCGAAATCACTCCGAAGTGACGGTAGATTTGACATATCATAAGAGTCTGTAATAGACCTACATGAATGAAGATATTTTGAATTTGCATAAATAAATAAAGAAAAAAATATGATTTGCTTTCAGTAAAACCTCTACAGCAGACAGACTTGGAAACCTCATTGTTAGACGAGTTCCTGATTGATGAAGAGACGCCACTAGCTCAGTCAGTGTCGGCCAAGTACTGTGATATACCGCACAGCGTGGGGTTCGGTGCCGGTAGTGCCACTGGTGGGAAGAAGTCTGGTAGATTTATACGTAAGTTAATTATTAATATACATATAAATAAAATTGAAGTGTCTGTTTATACAATATTATAATGTATGTACCGTATTTATTTCATATGCATGTAATAACCGTTTATTACTACATGCATATGAAATAAATACGGTACATACACCAAATAACATTTTTTACAATTTTTGTCTGTCTGTCTGTTTGTTCCGGCTAATCTCTGAAATGGCTGGACCGATTTTGACGGGACTTTTATTGGCAGGTAGCTGATGTAATAAGGAGTAACTTAGGCTACTTTTATTTATTATGAAATTACGACTGCCTGAGCCGAGGTTCGAACCCCTAGCGGTGTCAGATTAAAGTCGTATCTGTCAGACTGGAGTTGGCCTTCAGCCGCTCCATAAGTCCTTCCTTCGGTTTGGAGTGCCATCTGCACTCGCCCCCTATCGTCCGATGAAGCTGTAAAGGCCAGCTGCGGCCAGCATTAGAGTAGTCCGGAAAAAAAAACATGCTCCAGGACTTCTTTTTATCCAGAGATAAATAGTCCGTGCTCTTGTTAGTTGATCTCTTCATATTATTATGTTAAGTGTTTAGAATGTACCGCGGTGGTATCCTCATCACTGTATCGTTATATATGATGTGATGAGGTGTCGCCACATAATATATTATTTATTATAGTATGTAGGTAGTGAGTGTACCAGTAAAATGATTGCACTATTTATTAGACACTAGCTGTACCCGCGACTTCGTCCGCGTGGAATTTAACTTTATTTTTCTGAAATAAAAGTAGCCTAAGTTACTCCCTATTCCATCAGCTACCTGCCAAAAAAAGTCCCGTTAAAATCGGCTCAGCCGTTTCAGAGATTAGCCGGAACAAACAGAACGACAGACAGACAAACAAAAATTTTAAAGTGTTTTTTTGGAATATGTTCCTTATTTATATTCATATGCATGTAGTAAAAAACGGTTATTTCAATATTACAAACAGACACTCCAATTTTATTTATATGTATAGATTATTAAGTTTATTGGCAGTGTGCTACATGGTTTATTAGTAACGCGTCCAGTCGACGCGGAGTCGGGACGTAGACTGATTTTACACTTAACTTAAATATATGTTAGTGGAGACGTAAAGTAATGGAAGGGTCTCAAGTGACGACAGAAAATTACAAGTGTAGGCACAAGAATTTAAACCTTTCCATAACTATATTATGGATAGTAATTCAAATACAAAATTAATTTATTCATGTAGGACAAATTCATCCGCTTATGTACGTCAAGTTTTTTATATTATAATTTTAATTTTTTCCCTACCATACAGTTCGATATATAGATCCAATTGAGAAGAACTGGCAAGAAACTCAATTGAATTACTTTTTTTTAAAAGCCAGTTTATTTACATGATGGTCATTTAATGTTAGACATAGACACCCATATAAATATACATTATTTATATGGGTGTCTATGTCTAACATTAAATGAAAATCCCGTGTACTTGAATGACGAGCGTGCATGGCAATAGTTGTTCATATTGCCATGCACGCTCGTCATTCAAGTAATCGTTTAGTAATTAGGTAATATATAATACCTTGTTTTTTCTTCTTATTTATTGATGATAATGTAATGGTGCACCCGCCTGCGCTAACGGTTTACACTGGCGGCGGGGCACCAGTGGAGGATGATAAGATGAACATGAGGTCAGGTCAGTTAGCACATCGTAACAAATTCACCATGAATTTATCACGATGGTTTCCAGGGGGAAACGCGTGGAGGTCAACCTGACATGATACATTGATAGCTATGTGGTTATTAGTTCTTGTCAGTTCTTCTTATTTCGAATACTTTCCGAACTGACGGTACATTTGACATATCATATTCAAATTCAAATATGACACACATCCATATATATATATATATATCTGATGTGACTTTTGTATTATTATTGGATACTTATATTTACTTTTAAAAATATATTTATTACTAGTATTTACATAACCTAATAACAAAGAACCTAAAATTAAAAAGCTAAAAAAATATATATAATATGAAATTCAAATTCAAATTAAAAAAATCATTTATTCATGTAGGACATTATAGCCGCTTATGAACGTCAAGTTTTTACATTATAATTTTTTTTTCCTACCGTCCAGTTTGGTAAATAGACCATAAGAGTCTGGAATATACCTACATGAATAAAGATGTTTTGAATTTGAATTTTGAATTAGTCCATATTGGGGGGGAAAGGGATTGTTAGTAATGGGGATTGATAACCCCATTGCTAGCAATGTAACATGTCAGGTCGACCTCCACGCGGTACCCCCTGGAATCCATCGTGTTAAATTCCTGGTGAATTTGTCACGATGTGCTAACTGACCTGACCTCATGTTCTTATCAATCTCCACTGGTGCCCCGCCAGCGTAAACCGTTAGCGCAGGCGGGTGCACCATTCCATTATCATCCACAAAAAAAATTAGTCCATATTACTAACATCCCCTCCCCCAAATCCCTTGGTTTACTTAAGACTAAGTTCAGAGCAATTATACTCCAGGATTAACTCTGAAGTGTAATAGAAAGTTCTCTTCTTTCAGCATTAGGATTAGAAGAAGAGATGATAATTAGCAGGAGGAGTAAGTGTGAACCGACGGGCGGCGACTCCTTCCGGATGCTGTCAGATGAGATGATACTGAGCGTCTTCAAGTGGCTGCCGAAGAGGACCCTGGCCAACTGTATGCTAGTCTGCAAGAGGTACTGCTTCTCATTCTCGAACTAGTTACCCACCCATGCTTCGCACAGGTGTACATCCATACTAATGTTATAAATGTGAAAGTAGTCACTTTGACGCAAAAACTACTAAACCGATTTTGATGAAATTTTGTACACTTGTTCTTGGAGGTATTAGAATGAACATAGTATACTGATTTCGATACTTATTTGATGGATTCAATGCGAGCGAATTTTTTTTTTAATTTCTCGACATATTTTATTATTATTTAGGACTGAAAAATACATACAACCCTAAATTTTCATCCTTCTAAGGTCAACCCCAATTTTGTAATAGCGATTTTAATTCATATGGCAAAACAACGTTTGCCGGGTCAGCTAGTAATTTATATATTTTTTTTCATTTAGCCCAAAGTAAGCTTGTTATAGGTAATCAAATCAAAAATAATTTATTCATGTAGGACATTTTAGCAAAAATTTTTTGTATTGTTTTTTTCCCTACCGTCCTATTTAGTATACAGATTCAATTGAGAATTGGCAAGAAACTGAACCGATTTTTTTAATATCCAATTTAATATTACAATTGTAATGCCACTAACTTTTTACTTCCAGGTGGCATAGAGTAGCGTGTGATGAAACACTATGGCAACGGTTGGATTTAGGCAACAAAACATTATCCAAGGACGCAATAGGCAGAATACTGGCAAGAAAACCCATTGTAGTTAGGCTAGCTAGTTCAGAGGTGAGTACTAATTTGTATATCATTTTCATACATAGGTTTATGCATTAATAATAAAAATGTATGGACATACGGCTTACAACTTTGGGGAAGTGCGTCAAAGTCAAATATCAACATCATTCAAAGGGCCCAAAGTATGATACTGAGAACAGTATCGGGTGTCCCTTGGTACATCACCAACAACGAAATTCACAAGGAACTTGGCGTACTGACAGTAAAGGAGGAGATCCTCAATTGTAAAGAAAGATATAAAAAGCGACTATGTGACCACCCGAATCAACTGGCTGCTCAATTACTACAAATACTTTACCCCAAGCGACTAAAAAGAAGCGACATTGTGTAATGTTTGCAGTATGCTTAAGGAGTAGATTCGCCCGCTGGGGTGGACACTCCATTCTTAGATCCCACACCCAAAAAATCTGCTCATAGTTCCGGGACTGATTGCAGATAAGAAAAGAGAAAAAAAAAATAATAATAATAATAAAAAAATTCTACCCCCATGGGGATTCATAGGGAATGAAAGTTTGTATAAAACTGTCATTTTTAAACCGATCGGGCTGAGACTTTGCATGCATAAATCTACTATGACGTAGGCATTCCCTAAGAACGGAATTTGATAAATTCCACCACTAAGGGGATAAATTAACGCGAGCGAAGCCGCGGGCAAAATCTAGTTGTTTAATAAAAGTCAATAGCTCTTTTATTTTTTTATTATTATTATGACGGCCTCGGTGGTCCAGAGGTTTAGCATGCCGCCTTACTTCCGATGGTCGCGGGTTCGAATCCTCACACGGTGCAAGCATTTGTATTCATGAGTATGATTGTTTGTATTGGTCTGGGTGCTTACTTTCGATTGTCGTCGGTTCGATTCCTCGCATAGTGCAATTATTTATATGTATAAGTGTGATTGTTTGTATCGGTCTGGGTGTTTTCTATGTATAATATGTATGTATTTACGAAAAAAAACTATGTATATCAGTAATACTAAACTATTTATATCAGTTATCTAGTACCCATAACACAAGCTTATCTTGGGACTAGATGGCGTTGTGTGAATTGTCTTGAGATTATTATTATACCTTTAAACCTCCACTTAACATATATTTTTTCTCCTTATCCTTTCTTAGGGGATGCCTACGTCATACGTAGTAGCTTTATACATGCAAAGTCTCAGCCCGATTGGTTTAAAATTGACAAAGTTTCATACAAACTTTCATCCCCATTTTATCCCCTTTAATTAATTTAATTAATTAATTAAAATCCTTTCTTAGCGGATGCCTACGTCATAACATGTACCTGCATGCCAAATTTCAGCCCGATTCGTCCAGTGGTTTGGGCTGTGCGTTGATAGATCACTATCTCAGTCACCTTTGAGTTATTGGTTTTAGGGTACAATGGGACTGACATGTACTTAGATGGTACAAAAATCCCTAAATTTAAAAAAACCTTTGAGTTATATATATTAATAAGATTTTTTAATTTTGTTTACAGATAGGCGAGTGGCACACAAGCACTCCATTCCCGTCTCGCATACAGTATTTAGATCTAAGTATATGTACGATAGATTTAGACACATTAGACAGTCTACTGGCCTGCTGTCCAGGCCTGAAGAAACTGTCCCTGGAGAACGTCCAGCTTAGGGATGAAACCTGCGCTTTTATCGGTGAGTCATAAAAATGTTATTTATTGTAAGAGCTTCGTTACCTGTACATATAAATAAAATTGGAGTGTCTGTATGTAATATTGAAATAATCGTTTTTTACTACATGCATATGAATATATATGTATATATATATACGGTACATATACCAAAATAACATTTTTTATAATTTTTGACTGTCTGTTTGTTCCGGCTAATCTTTGAAATGCCTGGACCGATTTTGACTGACCGAGCTGATGTAATAAGGAGTAACTTAGGCTACTTTTATTTTAGAAAAATAAAGTTAAATTCCACGCGGACGAAGTCGCAGGAACAGCTAGTAAAGAATATAAGATAATTTAATTATCTTAATTGATAATTTAGTATGAAATAAGTATATTAAGTTAGTAATAGTAATATATCTGTGTAATAATAAAAAAAGTAAAAGTTATTGTTGACTTTAGAATAGAATAGAAAATCATTTATTCAAATAAACTTAATTTAAGCACTTTTGAATAGTCAAAATTTTTTTAAATCTACCGCTTATTCGGAAAGCTGTCTCATCACAAGAAGAATAAGCAAGAAACTTGTGTGTTGCTCTTTTAAACAATCCTTGCAAGTTACATTTTACAAGTCGAAACGTGTGAATACAAACTACCAACCTACATTATACCAACTAATTTATTTAGGCTCAAATATAAAAACACAATAAGATTAAATCAGTCGTAGTGATAAGAGCAGACCAGTCCCTACAAGCAGCACTCGTTCACGAGTATGACGGATGAGCCAGCCAACACTGCGCTCGACCATATTTTAGGGAGCCCAATGACCCGGCCCACCACGCCGCCACATGTCTGGACATTTTAGTGAGCATGACTACTCAAAACACTAAACTACATCAAACCTACTTACAATTGCCATCTGATAGTTATAGTATTCACATTTTACATAAGAAAGCATGCGGCAATCAATACAAAAACCGCTACGCTTTCATATTTCTAAAATCAATTAAATCAAGAAAGCAATGTTTAATGTTAAAGACTACATGCCCACCTGTGGGTCACTCCGTAACGAAAGTAAATTTACACATCGGGGCCAGGTAATCATCTGTGGGCACTTTAAAATAAATCTAGATGTTAAATAATGTCTACCTCAAATTATTGTACACTAAAAACATATTTAAAAAATAATATACGTAATTGACAATAAAAAAAAACACGGTCCCTATGTGAGAAATCTTATTTCTCACTCAATGCGGTCTTCAACGTGTTAAGGTCAAACTTGTGGCCGCATGGTGGCCCATGGGTGGGTCAATGTGCTCCCTCTAATATGGTTGAGTGCAATGATGGCGCATCCCTCATACTCGTGAATGGAAGCTGCTTGTGGGGACTGGTCTGTTCGGGTTACGAACACTGATTAGACTATTTTTTTAAAATCACTAGTATCCTGACGACTTAGGCGTAATGCCGGTTAGTCAGGGAGAGAAACACCTCAATGCCTACAATATTCACAATTACCCATCTCTTATTTGTTTTTATAATAATATAAACACTTTCGCTCCAAAACTCCCGCTGCTTACGTTCAATTCCGTCATCCACTTGTCAATGTCACATAGATTACTTTGGCTCTGGCCTCTGACGTTCCGTTTCAGGTTACATGATTATTGACTTTACCATTTTTTTAATTAATGGTGCGTCACACGATAGTTAACAGTCGGCCATCCTGCAATAGTGTCTGGCCCAGACACATAGGTAACTGATGAGCGTAGTCATGCTTATCAAAGGATATAGTGTCTACAGGATCATATAACAAATACTAAATTAAATAAACTAAAGATACACATTACTTTCATAACATTGACTATCTTATCTTAGTATACTGTCAAAGGTTTACAATCTAAAATCAATACTAACAGAGCTAAGTTTCGGCATGCATTCAGAAATGCACAAAATATAACATAACATATATTAATTTACATAATCCAAATCACCCAAAAACATGAACAACCTTTTAGAGTAACAAACAATTATTTGGCGGTGATTGACTTCTATGAGTCAGACTGTAACATATCACCATCACAATGTAAGTTTCCGATCTTATGAACATTGCATTTTTTTTTTATACCTCCAAAATAGAACTTGACATTTTTCGTCATGAATATTTTAACGGATAAATTTAACATATCACATTACAAAAGGTAAAACTTAATTACCTACATATATAGAGAAAAAAATATAAAGGGAAAGTAATATTCTCGTGACATAAAATTAGAACAAAATCGCTGCCTGCCTTCACCTAACCAATAGAAAATAACAGGTCAATATTATTCAAGTGGTTCTAATACCCTCAATACTACTACTACTATTTTACTTCGACGATACTCTTGATTTACCAGAGAATTATTTTAATATAACATAATTCATTGAATTTCAGTTATGATTTACTTAATAATACCATCAGCTCACTGGTCAAGTAATCTATTGCACCCTTTGAACCCTGTACATTTAGGGGACTATAAATGATTGTAGATACTGATCTCAATTTTCTTTACAACACCAGTTTAACATAAACCAAAACCCACTGTTCCAGATTAATGTGAAATAGAAATAATCTTTATTCAAACAAACTCAACAGAAGCACCCTTGAGTAGTAAAGTTTTTTGAATCTATCGCTCATTCGGAACGCAGTTTCATCACAAGAAGAATAAACAAGAAACCTGTGTGTTGCTCCTTTAAATAAATATTGATTTACTTATATTTAATTAACAACAAGGATTAGGCATGCGGCAATCAACATAAAAACCGCTACGCACTTAATCTCCGTTCAATCAGACAACATTGACAGCGCTATGAATTTCAAGTTAGATATTTTCTAAAAAACACTGATTTATAAATGATGACATTTATAAATTCTTCAATTTTATAATAAGCCTTTTTTTTTTTTTTTTTACAAAGAAAATATTTTATGACACATTTGATTTCTTTTTCTGGCAAATTGAGTACAGACTCCGGGAGTCCGTTGCAAAACCCTGCGCAATCTCCATAAAACGAATTACCAACTTTCGTTAAACGAACGTGAGTTTAGTAAGCCTACTATTCATTTTATATTTAATCGATGGTATTCGTAGCCACTTCGGCCATCCAACGTTATCGAAGGGCCTCATTCGATATTATCATAACAGTTAACATCGGGTAATATAATAAAATTAAAATCATATAAAATTTAGTTTGAGATAATTTACATACTTAAAATATGAAAGTTGCCACTGACAACTACACATTACATTTCAACATCATGAATTCAGTCTTTGTTATATTTTTCCGCCTTAAGTTGTATCACTTAATTTTTCACACCAGGTACTAGTCAGCATCTCTGCAAACACGGCTGCCTAGCTAATTAGTGAAATACCTGTTAAAACAAAACATTAAAAAAATGCCACCGCTTGCCCACTATGAGCTACGGTCTCAACAGATCTGGATTTTATTAGACTCAGCCACCGCTTGCCCGCACAAGGAGCTACGGCCTCAAACTGGTCAAATTCTCATTAGACTCAGCCACCGCTTGCCCACACAAGGAGCTACGGCCTCAAACTGGTCAGATTCTCATTAGACTCAGCCACCGCTTGCCGCCTCAAGGAACTACGGTCTCCAACTGAAACACATCAAATATTTAACAACTGGTCATTTTTTCAATGAGGCATTCACCGCTTGCGCACGCAAGGAGTTACGGCCTCCAACTAGTCATATTCTTTATGGTACTATGCTATTTTTTCTTCAGCCTCAAGTGCTCTACATTGCAACTCAACTATGGGTTATATGCACTCTCATCAAATTTTACTATTACTTTTTATTCTATTACATTTCTTTAAGAACTGGATTTCCTGGATCCATTTTACTATTTCTCCAACGCTTTAAAGGACTTTATAACATTTAATCATAAGTTAATTCAATTTAATTATGTACCAAATTCGAATTATATATCTGGTTGATATATATCTATCAATTTCTGAACGAACTTGCAATATATTACTACCACATACCCTACTCCTATTATTATCTACCAAATCTTGAGTAGCATCAACAAAAAGCGAGTCGTTCGTTGTACGTCGCATTGAGCACACGCGGATCCCCATTTTCTCCGTGAACTACCGTATACGGAACCATTAGCCGCGATCTCAGCGCAATCATCACACCAGTATATCATCAAACCTAACTCACCATCATTTACCTTAAAATCCATAAATCGTATTCATAGTCATATGATTATTATATTAATCTCATAATTTCATCGAAGTATTGCAAATATTTTTCATTGTCATATCAACCGCCCGTTCTATTAGCCATTTTGCTCATAATTCAGCTTGTCATCGATTGTAACTCATCATTGTATCACTAGCATTCCTTAATCTTTCAGATCTATTCGTTCATGTACAACTCTTCACCGCGTATATTTACCGACTATTTTCCATCGAGGTGTATCAAATTTTACCTTGTGATCGTCCTTACTACAATCTTGCAGTGTAACTATCTTGTACACCTCGAGCGCTTTATTCATAATATTTCTAAAGTGTCTGTATACGGTGTCTGGGTTCTATAAATTAGCACCTCTTCTAATTTCCCATTAATTACAACACATTTTCTAAAATATTCTGCGTATTCGGCTGTAACTTTCTGCTTACTAGCAGACCATGTTATCAAGCCATTAGTTATATTTAAATTCCAGACACATAAAATCAGTTCTGAAAGGATTAATTTCAATTTAAACTATTTAGTTAGTACAATAGTCAATCCGATTTCTCCAAAGGGCGTTCAGCCACACATACAAGTGCATATAGGTGCTCAGACTAATCTATGGAATCAAATGCCCAGCATTTGATTGCGTTGATCATTACTTATAAAAATTTTAACTTCCGTCGTCGTCAAAGACAACGCTTTAAATTTAATTCAATCTTATTTATCTGATGAATATCAACCAAATATTTGAAAACAACATCACCGTTATTATTATAAACTTCCAATATCTCT